GGCATGGCTGTTATTCAGGCAGCGTTTGGAGCTGGAACTACTGCCGGAGGTAGCAGAGCTATCCTCCGGATAGTGTCTAGAGCTGGAAGTGCCACGGATGTACCTCCCAGGCCATCCGTGGCGCCTTTGGCGCTGTATATGCTGCCAGAGGTGCCTCTCGAGTCATTCATGGAGCTAGTTGTGCTATTGGAGGAGTCAGAGCTGCCCTCAAGTCATCCGTAAAGCTGGTGGTGCTTTCGGAGGAGTCGGAGTTGGCCCCAAAGTCATCCATGGCGCCGCCGGAGTTGGAAAGTTCTCAAATGGTACTAAAACCCTCTGATTTGGAGATCCGTAACCCTGGAGCTGCCTGTACACCTCAGAAAAATTCATTCCATGCTATGTTGCTTGTCCCATATGCGGAGGCAGCGCCAATGGGGTCGGTACATTTGATTCCCACACTACTGCGACGGCCGAAGGGGCTGATCCTCAGGGTCCCGAAGGAGGCGGGGCTGCCCCCTAAGGTACACTCGGAGGTGGTGTAGTTGCCCCCCAATTAATTTCGAAGGTCGAAGGAATAGCTGGAGGTGTCAGGGTCATGTTCGGCCATGCCCCCAAGCATTGACGGCCGCTTCTTGATTATTGTGATCCAAAATCGATGTATGGGTACCTGCTCCACCAAATAAAGAGTTAGAGTACCATTGAGAGGATGGTGGCGTACCTCCGATGCTTCCCGGATGACTCTGGAATGGCGGCTGCCCTGTAATAGCCTGCCCGGAGGATGTTGCTACCTCAACCACGAGCTCATCCGGGGCACCCTTGTTGCTGGTCCTTTGAGTTGGTACGATTACGTTGCAGTACCAGAACATTTCCAAATGGGATCCGATGCTGACCCCTAGTTCTGCCCTTGACAGAGGATCGTTTCCGGAAGGTTCGGTGTTGGTCGTGAAAGCTTCTCCTTTGTGGATCTCTTCGTCCTTCGCCTATGCAAATTCATTGCAGATTGTGAGCTTTAGTAAATCCATAAGGTACCGGGAAAGCTCCGACGCCGACTCGTGGAATGCCTGGATCTCTTCCCGAATCTGACCCTGTAAAACGCTAGTCGGAATTTTCACCATTCTTTCCATACCTTCCGGAGCCGTAGAGTACTTATCGTGTGAGATCTCTTTGGAAATATGTGACGCTGAATTTTTGCCGACGACTCATTTCTCTTTCGACATGGTGGTGTTGTCCGGAGATGGTAGTTTGCGATTCCTTAATTGCATGAAATATGAGACTTGGCGAAGTCCCACTGAGTTTGCCAATCTGTTGTCGGTGAACTTCTTCGATGACGGCCCAACAGATTGAGTCCAGTCAAAATCGACAATTATTGAGTTCCCCGGCCTACTAAAGAAAGTATATGGGCTTGGTCTCGCAATGAAAGTTAACGATTGTAATTGTATGGAAAATTAAACTACTGAATTGACATAATCAAAAGAAAACAATAAAGATAAAAAGGAATCAGATTATGAAAGGGATAATTGGAAAAATAACATGAATTTAATAACAGAAATAACAAAAGCAAACAAGAAAGGAAAATAGATAAAAGTTGGATTGTGTATTTTTTTTTGGGATGGATCTCCCTTCTCATATCTTGGCTCCCCTTTAAATAGCATTTGATGAGCCTTGTCGGTAATATCCTCACTTTTTCAATTTTTGTTCCATCATTTTCTCAAATTTCTTATTTTTTATTTAGGAAAGTTCTTTGATCACTCCCCCATTCTCTCTCTCGTCCATATTAAAAACTTGTCTTTATCTGTACATAAATTCGGGTTGGATTGTTGTTGTTTGAGCCGGCTCACCTACTCGTTCGGACTGGGCTGCCAATAATATTCGACGGCCCAAAATATATGGAAGTAACAAATGAACCAACTCGGTTATTTCTTCGGGCTGGACTGTCGATAACATTCGGGGGCCAAAATACGTGGAAGTAAGAGTAATCTTAAAGAAAAAAAAAATACCATAAATAAACAATAAGAATGCAAATATAAATAATTTAACTTTTGATTGTACAAAATTCAACTTATGATGGTAAAGTTAAATTTTTTATATTTTTTTTACCAATACAATGATATATTATTTGTTTAAATAAATTATTCGTACCTATGAAGATATTTATATATTTGTAGAAAATATTTAGATGCACTTCTTTGTATATATACACCAAAAATACAGCGTGGCTTGATCGCTAGCGAAATGAAGATTTCGTGTAGATTTTTTCTATGATAAGTATTAAATCAATAAATTAAATGTAGGGGGTTTTATGAAAAAAAAAATCTAAAACATATATCTATAATAAAATTTACCCAATGTTAGACTTCCTTTTTTTATTTTTTTTATTTTGAGTTTGTTGACTTTATATTTTTTAGTGTCCATGATTTTTATAAATATTATATAAAAAATACAATATATATACATGTTAATAATATACATTTTATCTTAAAAAAATAATAATTTCGTATAAAATATTGTTTTTTATGTTATAAATATAATTTCACATACCAATTATAAAAAATATATATATTTAAAAATACACAAAAACCTTTTGTAGGAAAATATTATCAAGATGGGTGAATGCCTTCATTATTTTATATATATATATGCTAAACTGTTTTTTAGTCCTATTGGACCCCTTTATCATTTTAATCCCGTAAGTGGAGCCTGTTGCAAACTAGTCCCATAAGTAAAAAATTTTCGTTGTTTTAGTCCTCCGGCGCCGGAGACGTCCGCGTGGCTCGTCGGAGGTGACGTGTCCGCCCAGGTGTCCCGCCAGGTCAGCGACACCTGACGGACACGTGGATTTTTTTTATTATTATTATTTTTTTAACTTTTTTTAATTGGACCAAATAAAAAAAATAAAAAATACAAATAAAATTAAAAATAAGTTTAAAAAAAATGAAAAAAAATAAAAAAAAATAAAAAGTCCATGTGTCCGCCAGGTCAGCGACACCTGGCGGACACGTCACCTCCGGCGAGCCACGCGGGCATCTCCGACGCCGGAGGACTAAAACAACAAAAAATTTTCACTTATAGGACTAGTTTGCGACAGGCTCCACTTACGAGACTAAAATGATAAGGAAGTCTAATTACGGAACTAAAAAAACAGTTTACCCATATATATATATAATTGAGTTGTTTTCTAGAAGAGAGAACACTTCACTAGTAATAATTAGTTTGGCAAAAGCTGAAAGTTACAAAAAGTTAGTAGTATTTTGGGAGGTATATATAAATTTTGAACTAATAAAACTATAAATTATTTGTAAAGATACATATTGAATGTAGAAAGATTTTGGTGAGCTAAATAACTATTAGTTTATTTATTGTTTGGGGTCAGTCGGCCTATTCTGGTGTATTAGTGGTGTTTGAATTGTTTGGTGGTTTATTATTGGTGTATTATTTATTTGATTATATTTAATTTGATGGATATAATTTTTGTTGTAATACAAAGTACCTTGCTACCATATCATTGATTTATTTATATATATATGTTAAGATATGTCGTTTACTCTAGTATGTCAGTTACAAATTTTCATTTCATATGTATTTATAAATCTGTTTACAAATGTCATTCTTCATCGTAACTAGCACAATTTTTTATATTTATATAGATAATACATTAGTCATTGAGACCCTACTTATACTCCCAACGAATGCCGGAGCAAAAATCCTCGATGAGGTACTAGACGAAGATAACATCGACTCGACATACAAGAATGTATATATTTTTTGTATTAGTTTTGTAGTTATAAATTCTTATATATCTTGATTTTTTATTACAGTTGGTTCGCCGTCCTTAACTTCTTGCATTTGTGATTCTGTAATTGATGAGTTTGATTGTCCGAAGTAGTAATTTATAATATAAAAAAAATATAAATATGAATATTTATATTTAATTTATAATATAATATAAAATATAAAAAATAAATTAAAAAAACCTAATATAAAATAAAAAATTAGATGGCCAAAATATAACAAAAAAAAACAATATTGCTCCAATTTTTAAGAAATGCACGGTGTTCCTCTAAAAATAACACGATGTATTCTTCCAAAAATGGAGGATGAAAGAAAGTGCTGCTTGGTAATCTCCAACTCATCAACTCCATTTATTCAATTTTAATTCTAAATTGCTATTGTAATTTTATATGAACTATAACTCCATTTTTCACTATTATGCTTCAAATATTTATTTTTTCCTATTATTTTAAATAACTTTTTATTTTTATAGTTTAAAATAAATTTTTTTAAAAATTTAGAAAAATAAAAAATAAATTTTAAAATTAAAATTTAAAATTTAAAAATTTTAAAAATTAAAAAAAAAATATAGAGCAACGCCTCATTTTTTGACGTTGCTACAGTGCAACACCAAAATTGGCGTCGGTTATAGACAACTGACGCCAAATAACCCAACCCAAAACGATTAATGACTCTGGATTGGAGATGTTCTAATGGAGGAATTCACCAATTATAGAGCCGGTTAGATATGCTCTTACAAAAGTTGATTTTTTTAACAATAAAAATGTCTTTTTTTAGTAAAAATTTGAGCATATTTAATTTTAATTTGATATTAAAATAATATTTGATATAATATTATATTAAAAAAATATTCTAAAAAATATAAAATTCATATAGTAAATTTTGAAAAATTTTGTGTGAAAGAGAACACACCCTTTCTTTTTTATTATTTATTTATTTATTTGTTTTATATTGATGGCCGTGCTGACTGCTGCTACATCGACCACATATTATCACGACACGATTTGCTTATCTAGGTGGGGAAGCCCTGCCCTGCCCTGCCTACCCCGTCCTATATATGTCACGTGCTCTACGTCTGCGAGTAGTTTAGATAGAGATTTTTAGAAAATTTTGGAATTTTGAAAGTTTGAAAAAATTAAAAAATTAGTATTTGATTTGATGTTTTGTGAAAGAAAAAATGTATTTGATGTAATATTTTTAAAAAAATAAATAATACCAAATGAATAAAAATATGTTGTGTAAACAAAATTGTATACTTTGATTCCTCCTTTTCCCCATAGCTCCCCGTTCCATGGGAAATATCGAATTGGTTCCCATCCAATCTTTATCCTACACTAAGTTAAAAACACACAGCAAAACCAACAAGTTCTTACCAAATTAATTCCTATTATTCTTCCAGTTTCAGTTCCAGATCGTGTCCTTTCTGTGTTCTGTCAATGGCAGCAGCACTTGCAGTAGGGCTAAAATTGGCGTTCATGATGTTGGCCTGTATCTTCATCGCTGCATTAATTTACGTCGTCGTCGCTGATGGAGTAAATATCCCAAGAGAGTTCCGCACTCCGTATGCTAATTAGTTTTCACTCTTTTACTTAATCTTATAACTTTTACTGAGGAAATCAACATTACCTTGTTTATTCTACTGTAATTAGAGTTGTTAACCGAGCCGAGCGAGCTCGAGTATTGGTTTCTCGAGCTCGATTCGAATTTGTTAACGGTACAGGTTCGGCTCGACTCGTTAAGAATTCGAGTCAAAATAGTGCCTCGAGCTCCGCTTGTTAGGCTCAAATTCAAGCTCGAGCTCGGCTCGTAAAGCTTGAACTCGGTTTGAATTTTATACATATTCTATATATTTATAAATATATAAATTAAATATATTTAATTTTATTCATAATTTTTATAATAAAATATTCAAATTTTAATAATAAATATAAATTTTGATATAAAGAATCATATATACTTCCCCGTCCCATAATTAAAGTATTATATTTGGATGTAGTAGAAATAAAATAGAAATGACTAAAATAATCTTATTAATACGTGTGATATAAAGATAATGACATTTGTGTAATATATTGTAAGTTGTAAGGATATTTGTAATGTTAGGTAGATAGTACATTTGCTTTTAAAAATAAAAAAAAATAAAAAATGGATACTTTGTTATGGGATGGACTAAAATGAAAAAAATGGATACTTTGTTATGGGACGAAGAGAGTACTATAAATAATATAAATATATTATTACTAACGAGTTCAATTGAGCTACTCGTAAGCCGAATTCGAGCTCGGCTCGTTTGTAAAAAAAATAATTTTCGAGCTCGAGTACAACTCGTTTATCTTTATAAACAAGCTGAGTCGAGCTGTTAACGAGTTGAGTCGAGCTCTCGGCTCGTTTGTAAAAAAAATAATTTTCGAGCTCGAGCACAGCTCGTTTATCTCTATAAACAGGCCGAGTCGAACGGTTAACGAGCCAAGTCGAGCTCTCGGCTCATTTGTAAAATAAATAATTTTTGAGTCGAGCTCGGCTTATTTATCTCTATAAACAAGCCGAGTCGAGCTGTTAACGAGCCTAGTCGAGCTTGGTTCACGAACTACTCGATTTGTTTAACAGTTCTAACTGTAATGTATCTCAATGTTTTACTACAGGTGGCCAGTGGCGTTCCTTATCGACTTCTATGTCCTTTTGCTTCCGATTGTTGTATGTAATGCTTCGTATTGCCACTTTACATATCCTAACATTGAAATATTATATTGTTGCAATGATCGTACATATTACAAACTTCACTTTTTATGTTGTATCGTTGTTTTAATATTCTTCATCCCAGATATGGATTATCTACAAAGAATCAAATTGGATGCATTCGATCATATGGATACTTCTTACGATTGTATTTGGAAGGTATGGATCAATCTCCTTAGTTTGTTATGAGATTACTACAACTCAACAACACGTCCTTCACATGAAAAGTACATTAATGCAACATATTAATCTTATACATGAACGATGACAAATAGAGGGCGATGAGATTTATGTTAAACGACAATCTCTCTGAAATCTTAAACTTAAAAGAGATATACATCATTTATTTATTTATATATTGTCGAGTTAACCAACAATCCTAATTAATTACCATTGATACCATAATCACGACGAAACCTTCAAGGAAGCTCTTTTTTGCAGCGCTGTGTTTTGCTCGTACATTGTTCTGAAACTTACGAAGCTTTCTCCTCACGAATCAGCGCAAGATCCTATTTACTTTGTCTTGCTAACTAATAAGCCGAAAAGGTATAATATATGCAGCAGCCATAAACAGTTCCATGTTTCAAGGCATCTTCGACGAAGTTCTCATGTCATGTTGATTTAATCTTCCGAGTTTTTACTTAATTATTTCAAACCTTAGGGGTGAGAGGCAATCAAATAGCGTACTTTCAGTCGTAGGCGCAAGAGTTCTTTTCGGAACTTTGGCTTGTTTTATGCTTGCAACATGGATTTACACTCTCGTGGTCGACGGATTCCCATTCCGTACAGATGTTTTCACTCCGTATGTCCAAATTCTCTTCAAACTTCTACTAAAGCAAAAGGGTATATTATATAACATCACTTTGTGTTTTAATAAAAATGCACAAAACACATGTATTTTATTTATTGCATGAAACCTTTGTGTTAATGTAAAATTTGCACGAAACACCCTCTTGTCCAAAGACTGATGTTCGGTTCTAAATAAAGACTTAAATTACATAGATTTTATACAAATAAAAAACAAAAAATATTTTAAATAATTTTTTTATAAAATAAATAAATAAATAATTGATTAGTCCTTCATTTTATAGTTTTCGAGACAAATTGTTATATTATTTTTACAAAAACTATAAAAAGAAATGATTGATCAATTATTTATTTATTTATTTAATTCAAAAAAATTATTTAAGATATTTTACGTTTTTTATTTGTATAAAATTTGCATAATTTAGGTATTTATTTAGAACCAAACATCAGTTTTGGATAAGGATGGTATTTCGTGCAAATTTTACATTAACACAAGGATGGTGTTTCGTGCAAATTCTATATTTACACAAGGGAGTTTCACGCAATAAATAGAACACATGGTTTTTTGTGCATTTTTACTAAAACACAATGGAATGTTATAGAATTTACCGAAACAAAAATTCCACTTGAGGCCACCAAGACTAAATTGCATGCTTGTGTGCAGGTGGGTGTCGGCAACAGTTCTCAACATCCACTTCATTTCAATTGCTATATCGGTAATTCTCCAAGCCCCTATACCTGCGCTCCCCCCATCCTCTAGTACTGGCTAATTGTGTTCATTTTTGTTTTATCGATCAGGTTTGGGTGGCATATAAAGAACCAACATGGACAATCGCTGCATTCTGGATCATCTTGTTAATGTGTTTTCAGAGGTAACTCGTCATAACATGCCCCGATTAACCAATTTCATGTTTTTTACCACTTCTAAATGAGTTTTCCATGCCTTACAGCATAGGAACATACTCGTACATTCTCCAGCAGCTTGTCAAGCTTTCGAGCCGCGACCCGGTCTCCCGTCTTATTTTCAACAGGCAAGTATGCTAGCCTTATTGAACATGTTCTTGGCTAATAATAATGTATGGAAAGTCTTATTTACATGGTTTTTGTTTGTTTTCTTGATGATGTTTCCAGGACAGGCAATGACTATGAAGAAACTCTTTTGGAGTGAATTATATTACTATTTCTTTGGATAATGTGCTGTTATTGAATTACTATATCTTTGGATTTGCCTCAAGTAACGGTGTTGGATGTAATTAATCAACATAAAGCTAACTAATTGTTTCAAATAATAATTTATGTTAAATAAAACACAACAATGAACACAAACAAGGTTTTAGGCTGGGGAATAAATGAATATTGGATGTGTGATTTGTGCGTGTACTTAAATATCCATAGTAAAATTAACTTCTTTTGCAACATGCATACTAATATAAAATGCTTCATCTCCTTATTTTTAAAATAATGATAAAATATTTTCTAATTGCTTCAGAACAATATCAATATTCACAAATTCAAATTGTAGTTTTTTATTTACACTATTAATAATAAATAAAATATTATACCGAGTAAAAATTCATAAGATTCAAGCGAAACAAATAAACTTTCAACTTCGCTTCTTGATTTATCATCATCACAAGAGTTAATTAAATCTAATAAAGCTAATCTAATTTGAAAAGTTTGAAATCTAATAACTTTAACACTTTTAATTATTCATTTTCAACAAGTATTTGATAAAGATTTTAAAGTAAAATTCGAATGCTAGTGAGCAAAAGTTTTCATCTTTTTGTTAAGATTGAAAATAATGTCACAATTTGAAAGAAAGAAATCATTTTTATACAAAAACGAGCCATGTGACAAATAGTAAAATTAATACTATAAATGCACCTGACATATATAATGTATATATGTGTTATGCCCTACAACCATGAGGAAAGACAATAAAGTCATAGATGTCACTAGGAGTGGTGAAGAGAATGATGCTGAAAAATTTTGCATTGAAGAGGATGTTATTGCTTTTACCTTACATGACATGGAAGAACTTAGAGAAATTAACGACAACAAAAACATCATCGGGATTGGTATAGAGATTTTGGTTGAAGCTTATGTAGAAATTGTGGCTAAACAGAAAGTGTTGATTTCTAGGAATGATTACCTCAATAATTGTGTGGAGAGATTGAAAACCAAGAAAGTGTTGATTTCTAGGAATGATTACCTCAATAATTGTGTGGAGAGATTGAAAACCAAAACACTTTGCTAATTGATGAAGCCACAAAGCTAAAAGTCATTAATGATGAGTTGTGTTCAGAGCATGAGGTATACATTGAGTGGTGGTTATTTGTTGGAAAATTGATTTTGCGGCTGCAATCAAAACAAAGTAAAAAACAGGACTGGATAATCGTTATTATCTCAATCACTACGCTGAAAATCCCCTTCATTAATTTATATAAAATGCTCTCAATTATTGACTCATCCACCTACCTCGAATACGAAAAATATTAATCAGGGAAGATCTATCCTCTAATTTATTTTCTAAAAAAGAAAGATATATTACACCAAAATTACTGCACTAAATTAAATTATACCAAAACAAGTTTATTTCCTAACATCCCTTCTTAAACTTCTAATCTTCATCCTTTCACCAATCCGAGATGGTTTTTCAATCTCCAAAAATCTTCATTCTTCAAAATTTTCGTGGATATGTCAACCACTTGATCCTTGGACTTCACGTAATTCAACAACACTTCTTCGTTGTTAACACATTCTCAGACATAGTGATATTTTGTATCAATATGCTTGCTCCTGTTATGGAAGGTCGATGCAGCCTTTTGTTGCTCCAGTTTGCTCAATCTTCAGAATTTTCATTAATCCTCTAAACCAAACAGCATGGCAAAAACATGAGGCAGCAACTACATATTTAGGTTTGCAAGATGAAAAAGTGACTATCAGTTTTTTCTTTGAACTCCAAGAAAATGCAATGTCACCAGCAAAGAACACAAAACCTCCTGTGCTTTTCCGATCATCAATATCACCACTCCAATCACTATCACTGTACCCAATCATCCGTAATTCAGCTCCTGCAGAATAGTACAAACCAAAGCTGGAACTTCCTTTCATGTACTGAAGAATTCTTTTGGAAACCTTCATGTGATTAATGGTTGGAGCTTCCATGTATCTACTTATCAATCCAACTGCGTATAAAATATCAGGTCTTGTACAAGTCAAAAACCGCAATCTTCCAGCCAGTCTTCTAAATAAAGTTGCGTCAACTCTTTCTCCATCATCACATTCGACAGCTTTGTGCCACACTCCATTAGAGTAGCTACTGGACTACTTCTCTCCAGCTTAAATTTCTTTAAAATTGCCTCTGCATATGACTTCTGAGATATGAAATTCCCATATCACTTTGCATAACTTCAATGCCCAAGTAATATGCCATCATACCAATGTCCATCATCTTGAATTCTGCAGTCATCTTCCTATTAAAATCTTCAATCAGCCGCAGCTTACTTCATGTGAATATTAAATCATCCACATATAAGCAGACATACATAATTTCTTCAGATTCATACTCTTTCACATACAAAGCGTATTCATACGGGCATCAAATAAATCCATTATGCTGAAAATACTAGTCAATTCTTTTGTACCAAGCTCTTCGAGCTTGTTATAGATCATATAGTGCCTTCTTTAGGTTGTTGCATGTAAACATCTTCTTCCAATGTCCTATTCAGAAATGCCGATTTCACATCCATTTGAAAATTTTTCCATCTCTGATGTGCAGCCAACGCAATGATCAAGCGTATTGTTTCCAAGCGTGCTACTGGTGCAAACACGTCATCATAATCAATTCCAGCCTTTTCTGTGAATCCTTTCGCCACTAGCCTCGCCTTATACTTCTCCGTAGTTCCATTTCCATTATTTTTTACTTTGTAAATCCACTTGACTTTTACAGGTTTTTTTCCTTGAGGGAGTGTTGAAAGTTTCCAAGTATCATTCTTACGGATTGCCTTCATCTCTTCATTTATCGCCTTTTGCCATTTTTCATCACGAGCAGCCTCTTCAAATGTCATCGGCTCAGAATAAAAAATGAGACAATACATTGATAAATCTAGAACTTCCTTGTTTCTGCATAAATATCGTCTAAAGTTCTCATTCTGCGAATATGTTGAGAAGATGATCCAAGGGACACAACTCCTTGCAATTGCTGAGATGACACATGTGATGCAACTTCTTGCAATTGCTGAGATGACACAGGTGATCCAAATCCTTTTAGCTGCTGAGATGATGCAGGTGATACAACTCCTTGATTTTGTAGAGAAGATCATTGAGGTGTTCGCGGAACTGCCTCTGCTACATCTTTACCTTCACAATTTGAATCATTCAAAAAAATATCATCGAATGATGGAATAAAATTATATCTTTCATCAGAGGAAGTGTCCCAATCCTACTTTTCATGTTCATCGAAATCCACATCTCTGCTTATTATCACTTTATGACTAATAGGATCAAACAATTTATATCCTTTCGAATTTTCAGCATATCCCACGAAAACAAGCTTCTTGGTTTTGTCATCCAGTTTGCTTCTAACTTCATCAGGCACATGCATGTAGCATATACTCCCAAAAACTCTCAAATGTGAAATGCTTGGTTTTCTTCCACTCCACGCTTCATGTGGTGTTTGGTTTAACAGCTTCTTCGAAGGATGTTGATTGCTCACATACACTGCATAAGTTACATCTTCTGCCAAAATTCCTTTGGGATTAATTTTGTTTTCAACATACTGCGAACCATGTCAAGGATAGTATCTGTTCACTCCACAACTCCATTTTGCTATGGCGATCTTGGAACAACTAAGTTGTGTCGAATCCCTGATTGATCACAAAATTGATTAAACTGATTTGAAGTGAATTCCCCACCATGATAAGTTTTTATAGCCTTAAGTTGACAACCAGTTCATTCTCCATGAGGGCTTTGAATTTTTAAATGCCAAAAATGCTTCAGATTTCTCCTTCAAAAGATAAACTCAAGTCTTTCTTGTAAAATCATCGATAAACAACAAGAAATATGTTACCTCCAAATGAACTTGGCTTGAATGGACCACATATGTCAGCATGCACCAATTCAAGCTTCCGAGAGGTTTTCATAAAGGACTCATTGGGAAAGATCTTTCGGGATTGTTTTCCATACATACAACCATCAAAATTTTGATTAGGACGTTGTGTAGATGGCAAACCTTAAACCAGTCTTTTCTTGGGCAAAAACTTCAGTCTGTCAAAATTCAGGTGTCCCAATCTAAGATGCCATAGCCACGATACATCATCCACGCACGCCTTCAAGCATTTGGGATTATCATAATTGATCTTCAACACGAACATCTTATTTGTTGTCATTGGAACTTTTACAATCAGCATGCTTTCCTTATTTTTCATAATCAGCCCCTGCTTACTCATTGTCACTAAGTATCCCTTTTCTAGCAATTGACCGTTGCTCAAAAGATTTGTTTTCAATGCAGGACATAATAAACAACGGAGATGAAATTATGATTGTCATTTTTCAATTTAATAAGGATATCACCTCTTCACATGATTGGAATTTTAGACTTATCTCCAAAAGAAATATTTCCTCTCATCGATTCATCAAGATTGTAGAACAAATCTCTATTTTCCGTCATATGGTTGCTTGCACCCGAGTTAAGAAACCAGGACTGATATTCATTTTTCTCCTCTCCATCACAAGTCAATAACATAGTAGTGTTCTCTAATTTCTTTACTATAGCTTCGGCATAATTGACCTTCTCTTCTCTTTGTGGATCTTTTTTACATTCAGCAGCAAAATGACCAAACTTTTGACAATGAAAACACTGGACATGAGATTTTGTTCCTCGACCACCTTGAAATAGATTTGCTCTTCCACAAAAATTATATCGCTGATTTTGAGTACCAGCTCTTTCCCCATGTGGAGTATTTCGTCCTTCTCTTCGTCTACCAAAATTTCCACGTGACCATCCATGACCTCGTCCTCCAAATCTGCCACGGCCCCTTTGGTTTCCATCAGACTCTTGCAAATCCTCTCATTTACTCAAGTTTAAAGTGGTCTGCAACATTTGGGTTGGTGACTCAACTTGAGTTCTCATCCTCTCTTTGTGGGCTTGCAACGAACCCAACAACTGATCGACCGAAAGTTCTTCAGGTTTTTTTATTCTTCAATTGGAGTGACCATATAATCAAACTTCAGGGTTAACGAACGAAGTACTTTTTCAATCACTTGTATATTATTAATCTTCTCATCGTAT